GATTTTGTGGGGCGGAACACTCTGTAAACATCTGTTAAGTTCATTGTTCAAGAGTTCGATTGAGTTGTAGTATTTCCTTCCTTATTTTTTGTCTAGTTGATCTATCTATTTGTGACAGTGGGGTATTGAGGTCCCCCACTACAATTGTATTAGTGTATATATGACTTTTCATGTCTGTTAATATTTGTTTTATATAGTTGGGTGCACTAGTGTTTGGTGCATAGATATTTATGATTGTCATCTCTTCCTGTTCTACTGCTCCTTTTACAAGGATGTAGTGTCCTTCTTCGTCTCTCTTAATCACTGTTGGTTTGAAATCTACTTGATCTGCAAAGAGGATAGGTATTCCTGCTTTTTTTCAGGTTCTCACCACATGGAGTATTTTTTTCTACCCTTTAACTTTCAGTCTATGAGTTTCCTTTTGAATTAAGTGTGTTTCTTGTATGCAGCTTATTGTTGGATTTTGCTTCTTGACCCATTCTGCCACTCTGTTTCTTTTGATTAGTGAATTGAGACCGTTAACATTGGTGGTTATAACTGAAACGTAGTGACTTATCATTGTCATGACTTTTTCTTTTTGTTGGGTTCTCCCTTTTTACATTTAATTTCTTGTCATGCCAGATGGGTTCATTCTGCTTTGCTTCCTGGGGTTGTGATCCTCAATGTCTGTTCCTAGGACATTGTGTAAAATTTTTTGGAGTGCTGGTTTGGTATTCATGAAGTTCCTAACGTACTCTTTGTCATGAAAGTATCTTATTTCTCCATCCATTTTGAAAGATAGTTTTGCAGGGTACATCAATCTGGGTTGGAGGCTGTTTTCTTTTAGGGCTTGGAATATGTCACTCCAAGGTCTTCTTGCCTTGATGGTTTGTATTGAGAAGTCTGCTGTGATTCTGATGGGCTTTCCTTTCTATGTGATTTGTTTCTTTTCTCTAACTGCTTGTAAAACTTTGTTTTTCTGTTGAGTTTCTGGAATCTTAACAATTATATGCCTATGTGTAGAGTTTTTTTTTGATCAAGGCTAGTTGGAGTCCTATATGCCTTACTTATCTGTATGTCAAGCTCTTTTCCCCTGCTTGGGAAGTTTTCTGCCATTACTTCTGTGAAGAGATATTTTATGTCATCTGCACTCTCTCCTGTTTCTTCCTTGACTCCAATCAGTCTTATGTTATTCTTCTTTGCATCATCTAGCAGCTGCTGGATTGATTTCTCATGTTCCCTTACACTTTTAAAACAGTTTTTCTTTTCCTGGTCACTAATTGCAATCTTATCTTCTATATCTGAAAATCTGTCCTCACAGTGGCTCATTCTGCTGTGTAGACTTTCAATGGAGTTTTTCATCTCCTGGAAATATATTTGCTTCTGTTTTATGGATTCCATTTGTTTCCTGTGTTGGGATTCCATCATGTTCATCAGCTTCTCTCTAGATTTTTTAATCATGTCTTGCACTAGGATCACAATCTCTGCTGTTATCTGCGTAATTATTTCTGATTTCATTTTTTTCAGATCCTCTTTTGTTGCCAGTTCAGTGGGTCTAGGTGGTTGAGTATCAGAGTGTTCCATCTCATTTCCCTTTGGGGTTGCTGTAGGTGATCTGGAAGTCTTGTTTTGAGACTTATTTACGTGTCTTCTCATTTTGACAGGGGGGTGGGCATGCTGTTGGCGCCTGCACGGCTCACCTCCTCTGAGCTCGGAGAGGTGGGACAGTGGCTTGGAAGCCCCTACCTCTGGGCTGGGAGTGGCAGGATGGATGGCAGCTCGGAAGCCCCTTCCTCTGGGCCAGGAGCGGTGGGACAGTGGCTCAGAAGCCCCTTCCTCTGGCCCAGAGGGGCGGGACAGATGGTGGCCCAAAAGCCCTTTCCTCTGTGCTGGTAGTTACTGCCCATTTTCAAATTAACTATCTCCTTGATTTCTATTACCTATCTTTCATTTTGTTCTTTGAATTATTTATACTGTGGCTTTCTCATATAAAAGAAATCATGTGATACTTAATCTTATGTGTCTGATTTATTTCACTTAACATACTGTCTCAAGGTACACCCATTTTCCTATAAATGACTCAGGTTCATCCTTCTTTATGGCAGTGTAGTGTTCCATTGAGTATAAATACCATGTTTTCTTTATCCGTTCATCTGTTGATGGACATGTATGCTTCTTCCAATTGCTTTCAACCAATTGTAGTCTTTTGTTTGGTTTTGTTTTTGTTTTTGTTTGAGACAGGGTCTCTCTGTATACTTCAGGCTCCCCTTGAACTCACTATGTAGCTCAGGCTGGCCCTGAATTCATGGGGTGATCCTCCTGCTTCAGCCTCCTGAATGCTAAGATTACAGGTGTCCACCATCACATCCGACTATACTGTCTTCCTTCTAGCCAAAGGTTTATTTTAATTTAAATTAAATGGAGATAATGTGGGTTCTTCTGTCTTTGATCTAATTACAACATGACATACTATTATAGAATTCAGAATTAATTCTTGGGTTATTTCAAAAGGTACCCTTTATTGTGGTCCAAATTTCAGTTGACATAGGGTTTTGAATTGTTCTGCAAGAATTTGTATTGAGTTCAGAGTGATCAACATTGAGTGTGAAGTTCCTCCAGTTTTTGCATCTGTTGTCAATAAGGTAATTGGTGGTAGGAACAAGAGATACCTGTACATACTTCTGTGTTTTCTACAATGAATAGAGTGTAGCTTGAGTTCACATGTCTGAAAAAGAATACAGAAAATGACAGTATTACAAAAGAGTGCCTAGGAAAATCTGGATTAAATAGCCTGGGGAATAAAGTGTTACTTCTTACTTGTGGCTTTCAAGTTCACAGAGGACTTTGGGCCTGAAATGGAAACCAGCTGCTGTCTGCTTACAGTGAGGGACACAGTGCAAATGTAAGTGGCAAGAGCTCCTGGGCATCTCAGGAACAAGGCACCTGGTCCCTCATTGCAGATACATGTGGAAATGATACACAAATGCTCAAAATAAAATATATGTGGAGGGAACTGACATGACTTCTTGGCAGTGAATATTTGAGTTAAAGAATTCCATTCTGAAGTGCTCTGAAATCCCACAATGTGGTGTGTGTGTGTGAGTGTGTGTATGTGTGTTTATAAATTCATGTGGATAAGTCCTTGAGTAATTTGAAAAATTAAGTAGGCACCAAAAAGTGCTTTGCTCACTCAACTTTATTGATGATAAAAGCAGATTTGGCTGAGCCAGGTCGAATGGGATTTGAAAACATGCAGCAGTTGGAGAGAGGAAAGCAGTGGCTCCAGGCACAAGGCAGCGGCACTGTTACTGCTGTCTGCATCAACGCCCCTGGTAGCATGGCTGTGAGATCTTAGAATAGCATAAGAAAACAGTCTGGCTGGCAGAAAGTCAGGATGTTTTATTAACCTCATGAAGCTCAGTAACTTCATGAAAACCTCATTTTATGGTCAGGGCCTCTTCTCCACCCATTAACATAACCTTGAACACACAAGGCTTTGTTGATATTCTACACAGTTTATAGAAATTGTTTTATGTCTGTCTTCGATTTTATAACCTCATCACCTCCCTGTTGTGTGGTACGCAGCATAAATTAAATAAATGACCAAATCCACTGAACCACAGATACATATATAGCTAGAAAGCGCCTTATCAGTGGCCTGTTTGAACACTCATTTGATGGATATGGAAGCCAAGGCGCATACCCGAGTCGCCAAACTTCACACCAGTAGTTGCTAAAGTGCTACAACTCGAGGTTCCATCTGCTGACAAATGGTTCATGCTGACTTGGAGCCTTGGAGCTGGAGCTGTAGGTCCGAACTCACAGACAGGTTCTCCGGACTCCGGGAGACAGTGAGGTGGTTCATTCTCACGTGGATTGGAAAGTGAATGTGGAGAGGAGTGAAACTGTCTGATGACTGGGCTCCTCCAGTGTCAGACAACTGTCACATGCGCTGTTGGTCTGGCCACGGTCAGCTTTCTGACAAAGATTGAGGATAGATTCTTTGCTGCAGAATTTTGAGAGCCAGTACTTGTTGGGATTCAGCAGAGGACACCTAAGCATGAGTATGTGGGTACCTCTGATGTGCCACAGCATCTCTTCTGCTCATGCAGGAGTGAGATGGCCGGGTTACAAGGCAGATCTAGTCACCACACCCTTCGCAGTACTAAGACATAAATCAACCTGGATTCCCATCAGTGGATGAGTGGACAAGGCAGATGTGCTGTTTCCATGTAGAATATTATTCAGTCACAAAAGGAAAGGGATCCTGCCATTTACACAACATGGTGGAGATAGAGGACATCATGTTAGTGACATAAATCAGATACAGAAAGTCAAATACCACACTCCTCTCTCATACGTGGACACTCAGGAAGGTTGGCCTGGATGTGGAGCCATGTTCGCAGAGGATGGGGAAAGTAGAGGGTGCTGGACAATGGGCACCAAAATGCAATCAGGGAGGAGGCGTAAGTTCAGTGCGGTGGCTCATAACTTTTCGTATATTTTGTGAATACCTGGAAGAGTTATGCTTGAAGGTTCCAACATAAAGTTACAATAGGGAGATGAAAACATTAATTAGGCCAATTTGACCAGTGCACTTTGTAACCATGTACAGAATTATTGTTACTGTATCCTATATACAATTAAAATTAGCCAAAATAGAGCCTTATCTGAGGTTTTAGCAACTATGTCATAAAATAGAAAGTATTTTACAAAGTACTTTTGATTATGGTGATTTCAAATATTTCCATAAGGCTTTACCTTTGTCTTTTGTGATAGATTTTCTTTATCCCTGTAATGCATTTATAAATGTTTTATAGCTGTTTTTCATATCTAGGAGCATGTAATACCTTCACGGCTTTAAGAACTAGTAGTTGATAAAGGTGCCTTTGGGGATTTTCTTCTGAAACATTTAAAATTTATCTGATATCAAATTAGACATTAAACCAATTGCTCCTCACTAACAAACTCTTTCTTAGCACTTCCTTTGCATCAGTTAAGGCCTCCTTTTTCTTCCTTAGGAAAAAGTGGCCCAGGGTGTGTTCATGCCCTGAGGCTATCTGGAACTGATCCCTGACCCTAAGGATGACGAGGTGAATCACATAAGGGCCACGTGTTTCAACAGCGATGTAGTCCTGAGGCCCGAGCTCTGCACCTTCCGAGTGCTGCCCTGGGTGCCAAGGACTGCCCGGGTGATCTGCGACACCTTCACGGTGACAGGGGAGCCGCTGCCCACCTCCCCGAGGTGCATAGCTAAGAGGCAGCTGAGCCAGCTGCAAGATGCAGGCTTCTCCCTGCTGTCTGCATTCCTCTGTGACTTCTGTGTCTTTGGTGTGTCTGAAGTTATCAACTCCAAGGCCTTATCTTTTCCTGTTCCGGCCTTTCTAGATAATCATGACCAGCCCTTCATGCAGGAACTCGTGAATGGCTTGTGTCACACTGGGGCCACCGTGGAGAGCTTTTCCTCTTCTACCAGGCCTGGTCAGATGGAAATCTGTTTTCTGCCGGAATTTGGCATCGCTTCAGCCGATAACGCGTTTACCCTCCGAACAGCTGTCAAAGAAGTGGCCAGGAAATACAATTACATTGCCAGCTTTTTCCTTGAGACAGGGTTCTGCAATTCCGGAATTTTGTCTCACAGTGTCTGGCATGTCAGTGGGAAGAAAAATGTGTTCTGCAGCAGTCCTGGAGCCGAGCTGCTCACACCGGCTGGGCAGAAGTGGCTGGCAGGACTTCTGAAGCACTCTCCAGCCCTCAGCTGCCTGCTGGCGCCTGATGTCAGCTGCCGAAAGTGCTACTGCAAGGATAGCAAAGACCCAAAGACCACTGTGCCTGTGGCCTGGGGCTACAATGACAACAGTTGTGCCTTCAACATCAAAAGTCACGGTGGGAGAGGCACCCGGATAGAAAACAAACTAGGCTCGGCCACTGCCAACCCGTACCTGGTGCTGGCTGCCACCATTGCCGCGGGCCTGGATGGGCTGCAGAGCTGCGACAGTGCTGTGGCCGGGGAGGGTGACAGCACAGGCCTCTGCCAGGCCCAGCAAGCCACCATCCCTGTGAAGCTGGAAGACGCCCTCATGGCCTTGGAGGAGGATCAGTGTCTGAGACAGGCTCTGGGAGAAACTTTCATTCGGTATTTTGTTGCCATGAAGAAATATGAGCTGGAAAATGAAGAAACAGATGCAGAGAGAAATAAATTCTTGGAGTATTTTATTTAGAATAGAACTCCTAACTCTTTGTTTCAAGATGTTATTTTAGCTTTAACAGCTAATCTATCAGCAGGAAAGGATTGAACTTTCATAATTAACCGCAAGTCTCCAAATGCTTACCCTCTTTTTGTTGTCCTTGTGGAATCTGTCAGATGAAGTTGGGTTGCTGAGAGGGAACGGTGAGGGACAGAAACAATAGAAGTTGTGGAGAAGGTCTAAAATGGAGGCTCAACTGGTGGTGTCAGCTGGTTATCACTCTTTCATGTCATGGGACACATGCAGGAGTGTTCAGTTGTAAGCAATAAATACATTTGCACATGAAAAAAGAATTAAGCTTTAGAAGGAACAATGACTACAATAAGGAAAAATTTCAAATGTAAACACAGGTTGTGACTGCCAGGGAAACGCACACGTTGCTATAATCTGACTAAGGGAATCAGTGTAAGGATCTGGCTGGTCAGCATCATGATGGTCTTTTCAAATGCAACCAGTTTTGCAAAAATTTGCTATGATCACAAGTCAGTAGAAGTTTATACACTTCTCTTTGCATGCTTCTCCACCAGCTCTTGAAAGGCTGAAGGACTTCCAGACTATGATGTCCTCAAGAATCGAATCCACAGAGATAGAATTCAGGCCGGGAGTGATGAAATCAGGTTGTTAAAGTGACCAGAGTCTTTTTTAAAGCAATGTCATATGTAGAAGCACAATACATAGAAGGATGGGGGACAGACAGGGTCCAGGTTGTATGGAGTGGGGTGGGCACCTCCTCTTGGCTTCCTTCTTTGAAGCTGGACATCCCTTTAAACCACTCATTCTTTGCAGAGTGTGAGAACAACTGCCCAGCTACCCAGGGGCCCCTGAGCAGCCTGAATTTGTACTTACATTACTAATTCTGCGGCCTACAGAAGTTGAGGATTCTCCAGAGAATATTAAATGTCCCAGGCCTTTGTTTGAATGTGATAAAATTGCAACTATTACTAAAGTTTAGCATCTTTGAGAACAAGTCAAAAATCTACTTGCTAGCAAATGAAAACACCAATCTACTGCTTAGGAGATTTATGTTCAATTAAAACCGACCTTGGTCTCAATTTAGGTGGCAAACATACAAGCTGAGTCAGAGCATTTGGCTCAGTTTTTCCTATTAAAGTTCTTAATATTTAGTATCTTAAATCATGAAAGTCAGTCTGTCCCTCACTATTGGCCCACCTCTTTTCTCCTTTGTGTAGAATGAGTGTACTTGGTAACAAATTAATAAAGTTCTTGAGTGGCTTGAACAATAGAGAGAAAGGTAGCCCAGGGTGGTGGAGAAGGAAGGAACCTGACCTATATCATCTGAAAATGAAATCCCACAGATTCCCCATGGGAGGGATAAGAAGGAAGCTCACGGCAGCTGCTATAGTCAGCCAATTTTCATTTTTCTCTGATCCCAGTAATAACACTGCAGTGTGTCAGAAGGGAAGACATTGTGTAACAAAGAAATGATATTTCCGAGCCTCTACTGCAATTGAAGGTGATCACGTGATCAGGTCCGGCCAAGGAGGTGTCAGTGGAGCACAGAGAGGAAGCTCTAGGAACTGGCTGGGAGGACAGGCGGGCACTTTTCCCTGCCCCTTTCCTGTCCTCACCTTCCAGCTGACTGGCTTAGAAGACTCTCACCAGGAGATTCCTGCCAGAGGGTAGAAATTTCCCTTTGTGGAGCTATGTTTGATTTGTCTACATCCATTTATTTCTACCTGAAAGAAAGACAAACTTCTGTGTCTTTTATGACCCAGTGATTTGGACTCTTTGTTGCAACAATACACCATCTTGCTTGTGTGTTTGCATGTAAGTATATGTGCATGAGCGTGTGTGTGTGTATGTGCATGTGTGTGTATTTGTGTGTAGGACATTTGTAGGAAATGGGGATGAAGAATAAAAATATAAGAACCAGTAAAAAGACCTCTTGTAATGTTTCTCCTTCTAGAGAAGAAAATCTGAATTGCTCAGAGGGAGCCACTCATGCAAAAAATTGTATTCTCTCTCACTCTAATAGAGCTGTACTGAGCCCTCCATAGTTCACTAGCCTTCGTGAAATGTGTCTAGTGCTTTAGCTTGGTTTTAATACAATGAGTAAAATGTGCTGTAAAAACTCTGCTAATCACAGTTTTTTCAGCCTTTCTTTCCTATTCTTTTACACATTGTGACAGTTAACCTTAATTGTATCAACTTGATTTCTTAAAACCAGGAGATTAATAAAGTACACTTCTGGGTGTGTCTGGATGAGTTTTGGCCTGGGGTACTATATACAGGTCCTGGCCCCTTCCTCTCCAGCTCTGTTGGCTCTGCTCTGCTTCTCAACCTTCATAAAGCAAGTAGCTTTCCTCTGCCAAACCCCTCTGCCATGATATTTTTCTCTTGGAACCAACCAACCATGGACTGAACCCTCCAAAACCATGAGCCAAATTAAAGCACTCCTCTTCTAAGTTGGGGGTGTCAGTTACTGCTTCCCAAAATGATATACATATTATTAGAATAATTTAAGAAATGCAATACCCAGGATGCCAATGCAAGGGAATTATGAAATTGAGGAAATTATTGTCATTGTTAAGTATAAAGTAGTGAGTCAGCAGAAAATATTCAGTACAATTTACAGATTTCAGTTACTGTATGTGTGTGTGGATGGATATTCTTAGTCTTTAACACAAGCCAAGAGAGTTGAGGAATAAGTAACAATTGGAATAGGAGAATGTTAAACCTCAGTTATCTGGTTTTTTTTACTTTTATCTGTTCCCGATTTTCCTATTGTTGATGAGACCTTCTGCTGATGCTTCTGTCTTCTTGTTCTAAGTGAAGATGGCCAGATGTTTACTCAGTATTATTTATTGAGCATTTTTTGTATGTTGTTCCAGGGGAAACCAAGACAAAGATGAAAAGCAGAAAATGAAAAAGTTTTAGATCTGTGTATCTTAAGAAGAACAAAACAGGGGGTCGGGGATTTAGCTCAGTGGTTTTGTTGCCTGCTGCGCAAGCTCAAGGACCCGAGTTTGATCCCCGGTACCAAAAAAAGAGAAGAACAAAACATATTTTTTTGTAGGCCTGTTGCTGAAAAAACTATTTGGAAGTCTTTATGGGCCTGAAAAGGATGCTTTTGAATTTCTTTACAGAAATTACTTTCTCATTTTCATTCACCATAATTGTTCTAATCAAAGCTTAAGGGAAAATGTGATTACTGAATTTAAATTTGGTTATTAAATGAGTATACATAAGAAATGTAAATTAAAAACGATAATGTTTTAAGACTAAAAACTAAAACATTAGTGTCATCATAAGAAGTTGCTATTTTCAAGGGCATTTTATAATCTAAAGTTTCATTTTATAATATCTGAAAAACAGTGAAGCTTAAAATGACTTTGAAGGTAATGAAAGATCTCAAAACTTTAATATGAATAAAAATTGAAATATGCAGTTACCTCTGGATTTACCACCAATGCAGAGACATACTCCAGGGACCTGAGTAACACAGCAGACTGACTTATGTGTTTATGATAGAGGTATTGTCACACATATCATTCTTCTTGGGCTTCCTCTGGAGGTGTTAGGATTTTACCTCACACACGACCTTTGTGTGCAATGCTTTCCATGGTACAGTTCTCATGTTCCCTATAATTAGTGGTTCATGTTACGTTTCCTAATTAGGATCTTAGTTCCAAAAATGGAGGACACGCATCGTCCTCATATTTGTCATTATATTTCTTATTCCTTTGCAAGTGTTTTAGAATTTAATACATGTTCAATTAATGCCTATAGTTAAGGCATTATAGAGCACTATGTTTATACAGTATACCACACATCACATCCTCAGAGAGGGTGAGAAACAGAGATGGGTACAGCTGTGAGAATCAAAGACTTGTGGTTTTTATTGGCTTAACATTATGGCCATTAGAGGAACTTCTCCAAGTTCTGTTTCTACAAGCTCTTGAGGAAACACAACTAAGTATCTTGATAGGATCATAGAAAAGAGGGCACAGCAGAGTGGTTCAGGGTGTTAGCCATGTGGGACCTTTCAAAAGCCTTTTGGTTTGTGGAATTCCTTCCCTTTGGACTCCTAAGTAGGAGTCAAACCTCAGCTTTCTCTTGCAGCTGAGGCATGAGACTCTGCCAGTCAGATGCAGTGATGAAGACACACCTAACCTTAAAAATAACTGCATCTGTATTGAAAGAAAGGAGAGAGAGAGAGAGAGAGAGAGAGAGAGAGAGAGAGAGAGAGAGAGAGAGGAAGAAAGAAGGAGAAGAAGGAGAGGGACAGGGAGAGGGAGAGGGGGCAACAGCATATCCTCCATCCTGGGGCAGCCTTGAGGGAGACAGCAGGGCTGGGGTCACCATGCTGCCACACGGGACTGGCATCTTCCATCTTGGACAGGGCTGCTGGTGTTGCCCAGTGGTGTTGCTGCAGGGTTTCTCTGGAGCAGTCAGGAACAGCTTCTGGACCTGAATTTCTGGCCCTCTCAGATTATATGAATCACTTAATATCCTTTAAAAAATTCCTTCCTGCTTAAAGTAGCTCAAATTTGGAAAAAGAGACCTGACTAAAAAGCATTATTTACAAGGATACAAAGAGCAAGAAAACAGTGAAAAGAAAGGAGAAAGATAAAGAATGCTTTTTCATTAGAAAACTGGGGAAAAATTCATGCTTATATTAAATTTAGATTAAACCAAGTTTTATTAAGCTCCTGAAATGTAGAATACACCATGTGAGTGATTTCTAATTTATTGCCTTATTGATGTTCTTTACAATTTTACAAACTATGTATGTGTACTGTATTATAAGTGAGAGATATAAGATGCGGAGAAGCAAAAGGTTGAAAGAACTGGGAATCAAATCCAGGTTTCCACCTTGATTTGAGTCTCACAGTCTCTATACTATTCCAAAATGGCATTAGCTACACAGTCTCAGGGGTGTCTAACAGTGAAAAGTACCATGCATGTTAAAATTGTGAACCTCTGGATACCAAATATGGGGAAAATAATCAAGGATTTTCTTTTTGTTAATATGCTGCTCAAGTTAAGGTACTTTCACTGAGCTTTAGTCAGTATGACCACAAGCCAGTCTCAGCAGCACACGTGTGGAGTTGTGCCAGTAAGTTGCCACCTGTCTGTTACCTGTCCAGCCAGGGGAGCTCATCCCGAAGGAAAACAGTCCCACGGAAGCACTTCAGAACTGTCTCTGAAAAGTAAAACTCTAAAAATAGCAATTCAAGCCTTCAATGTTTTTATATTTTTTGAAATAAAAATCCCTGTTGACATAGCTGGTAGTACTAAGAATTTGAACTGGTGCCATTTAAATTATTTTGTTCCATCTTGAGAAATGTCCTTTGCCAAACAGCATTCACGGAGAGCATAAGGGATCTGGTACTTCTGTCTGGCTTCTTAAAGAATAATAGATAAGAAGACACATTGAGTTTTGAAAATGACCAACCTGAATGAAGGGGAAAAGGGTAAGTTAAGGGAAAAAAATCAGCTGAGAACCTGCCATACAATGAAATGACGGAATCTTTTTCTTCCTGAATTAGGATTTTCAGCTAATATTAATTTCACATAGAAAGGAAAGAATGAATTAATAAGACCACAGGTTTAATTTTTGTAGAACTGCTAATGTAAGATTCACTTAAGGCTAATGTTTAGCTGTTTCTTAGGCACAAAAGGCTTACAGAATGAGTGCCACGTTGCAGAGAGTCTTCAGGATATCCGCTAGAGGGCAGCAGTGCACCATGAAAGGCATCAGAACAGTGGCTGAGCGTTCTCTGCAAAGCCTAATATTAAACGTGAAAGTAACCAGATTTTCAATAAATGAAAATTGAAAAAAATGTATTAGGGATACTAACTCCATAAAGACATTTCCAACCACATGACTTATATTTGAATATATTCAGGCTAACAGGTATTACACATGGGCTCATATCAGAGAGAAGAGGAGACAGGTGCACTGGAAGGATATTGTATTTCTGATACCCAGGTTATATTAAGGAGACATTAGAAATATGAAATCATGGAAACATTAGCTGCATTACATGATGCCCGAAATTAATCCAGGGTTCTTAAATTCTGGATGGACCTGAACTGGATTTGGAATAATAAATAGGCTGGAAAAGGACTAAAAATTTTTTTTACCACCAGTTCATTTAAAAAAATATTTAAAAATGTTTATTATTTAGTAATTTGTAAAAATCATGATAGCAAAATATAGCTATAATTTGTTATTTATTTAGAAGTTCATTTCAATCATATAAGAGCATCTAAAATATCTACAAATTAGATAAATTAGACAAAGTGCTAGTTTTCTTTCTTTGATCACTAGAAGGCTTAAATATAGACTTTATATGAAGTAAACAGAAATTATGAAACTTTAGTGTCTGAAGTGAAAGGGAATGTTGGGTAATAAATTGTTACTGGAGTTAGACATTAGTAGCTCTTCCATTCCCTTTACTGAATAGTTGCTTTTGAGAGCGGTGTGTGTCAGTTATTGAAGGGGCATGTGAACAGAGCAGCACACGCTTACCTCCCACAAAGAGCTCTCACCATCCCTGAGAGAATGGATAGAATTCTATTCTTTTTTCCTTAAATTCTTTTATTGGTACATTTTAAGTATACAATACATTTACATTTCTCATTGGGAACTTGTACCTGTACATGATGTATCTTGGTTCTTATTTTTGCCCCATTCCCTGCCCTCCCTTCACCCCCCCCCTTTCCTATTTACAAAGACTTTGTTTCAATTTTTTCCATTTCTCATAATTTTTCCTTTCCCTTTTTTCCTTTCCCCTACCCCTCCCACTCCCCCTACTCCTTTGGACCTTTTCTTCCTATTTCACATTATCAATTATTCATTTTAATCATTGGTACATTTTAGGTACACAATATAATGACATTCACCATTGGAAATTTGCAGCTTTACATCATCCATCTTGGTTCTTATTTTTCCCCCTTCCCCTGCCCTCCCTTCAACCCCTCCATCCCTCCCTATTTACAAAGACTTTGTTTACATTTTTCCATTTTCTGATATTAATTCAATTCCCTTTTTCCCTTTCCCCTACCCCTCCTTCTTCCCCTTCCCCTTTGCCCCTTTTCTTTCCATTTCACACTATGAGAATGGATAGAATTCTGAATGTGGATGTAGGTCCAAACTGATGTGTAGAGGACAAGAACAAAACAGTGTAGAGGTGATGACAGTGACCAAATGATACCAGGGCACAGGTTGGGTCAGAGTTTCTTGTATCCAACCGTGTTTGCCCCGGGGTCCCTGGGATTGTCTGAGCCCATGCCTCTAGGACTTGGGGAGAGAAAATAAGTGCAGCTAAGAAGAGGAGAGGAAAACTCACACAAATGGGGCTGTGTCAGGCAGGCCCCCTTCCTAACTCTTTGCCATTAAACAGCATCCACTTGCTTCTTCCTTCCCTGTGCTTGGGAACAAGAGATGCCCTCACCAGTTCCCAGGTGCTCAGCAGTCCCACCTGCTCACTCTGTCTCTCCAGACTCCAGTATGTCTCTCTTTTGATGTTTCTTCCTTATTAGAAGTTAAACACATTGACATATTTCCAGTGTGTGTAACACACATACACACACACACACCCTCAAAAGAAAACACCTCCAGTTATTCATGTATGGTTCTCAATTCTCTTTAAGATCAAATTCATTGCTGTACTCCATGTCCTTCCTCTTTCTACTTCCTCTTACTGTTTACTCTTCGAAGCTTCTCTCCTTTGCCCCCCCCCCAATATTCTGTTTTTTTCCCCCACCAAAACACACCAACTGCCCTTACCAAGGTTAACAGTGACCTCTTGTCGTGGCTGTGTCTAGATGCCCCCCAAAGCCTCATGAGGTCATGGGTGGGGCTTTTTCAGAGGTGGCTGGATCTAGAGTGTGTGACTCTAGGATTGATTCATGGTGCAATGCTAGGCTCAAGGGCACTAGGATTAAAGGTCTGAGTGCTACCTGCCTGAAGTAGCCCAGATAAGATATAAGGGGTAGAAAGAGCAGTGGTCATCCCTTGCGTGCTTTGCTGCCTTCTGCCCTCCATGAACTGTTTCTCCTTTGCCATGCCTGTCTGCCATGCCACCCTGCATTGATGCCAGTCATTTATAGACTGAAACCTCTACAAACTGAAATAAACTTTTCTTACTTTAACTTTGGATGTCTGGTATTTTGTCTCAGAAATGAGAAAAGTAACTAAGACACCTCTCTTCAATTGAATTCAGTGGCCCCTTTTCATCTTTTATATTTTGTGACTACATAGTAAATTGGCAGAATTGACTTCTGCCTCATAGCTGAAATGATTTTCTCTTGACTCTTGAGGTGCTAAAGCCTCTAGATTTTCTTCTGTTCCTGTTCATTTCCAATCTCCTGCAAAGTTGTCTTCCAGCTGAAATCTAATGTTGATTATTCAAGATCTTTCCATTCTTGGTTCTCTTTTCATTCTAGAAAGTGGCCTTTTAACATATTTATTATTAATACTATTTTTCACTGATTAAGAATCTTGGTTAAAAGTAATAGGGATCAGGCCAGGGATTTAGCTCAGTGGTTCTGGTGCCTGCCTCGCAAGCACAAGGTCCAGAGTTCAATCCCTGGTACCCTCACCAAAAAAGGTAATAGGGATCAAATCGAACTTGAATCAATGGAAGGAGGTTTTCTTTCTCTCTCTGTCTTTCTCCCTCCCTCCTTCCCTTCCTTCCTTTCTCTCTCTCTCTCTCTTTCTCTCTTTCTTTCTCTCTTTCTTTCTAGAAATAAAAAGAGCCTTGCAGATCTTAAGATCTCCGATGTGGGCAGGTCTTAGAAATGGATCTAGCCAGGACTAGAGTTCTGTAGATAAACTACAGCATCTTTTCCTTCAGTTCTTATTTGTTTCTCTTCATGTCAGCATCATGCTTTCTGTCTTGCTACAGCCTAGCTTCCTGTGCATGGTGGAAAAATGTCTACTGAAATAACAGTCTAGTGTGCATCTTTTATGTTCAATAAGCAGCTGTCTGAAGCTAGACTGTCTTAGTCTCAAATCCACATTCCTTGATTCAGTTTGGGCAATGTTCACATTCCTTGTCCAGCTAACTGTGGACTGGGAGGGAGAAATCACATTGTATGCACAAGGCTGCTCTCTCTATTAACACATAGATGGTCCAGGCAGGAGCGTCCTTGTGGAAGACATGAAAAGTCTTCAAGTGCCAATTTTTATCTACAAGCAGATGATCACTTGATAGTTTCTCAGAATGCAGCTCCACTTGTTGACTCACAGGTCCCTTTAACTCAACATACCTAATGTGTAGTCCTTTTAGTCTAAAAACTCTATACAATTAGTCCCCTGCTATTCTTTAAACTTTTGATGGCCTCCTTTTAGGAGAATTCTGTTGTCCAACCTGGTCACTGCTCATCTGCTGCTGTCATTTGTTTAAGTTTAGCAGGGCTGGGTGGACGTGGTCTCTTTTCTTCACATAGTTGGGCACCCCCAGATCTGCTGACTCAGTGTGACTTCAGCCACTTCAACTCTTCCTGGATCCAGGTCCTGCTGCTTTCAGCCATGCCGTGCATCCCATGAAGGGCCTAATGACACACTGGGCAGGTACAGCTTTGACTTCACCTTACCTCACACTTCACAAGTCACAGCCTACTGTCTCTTTTTATTTTTGGCAAGTAAACATTGTTTTTTTTTGAGACACAATTCCCCTTTCTAGGAAATTAAGATATCCCCCTAACCCACAGAAGCAATTGTTAGAATAATTTTCCTTTTCCTTAACAACACATAAAAAACCCTCCTGTTATGGTTTATGTCTGGATGTTCCCTCAAAGTCTTAGGCTTGGAGATAGGGCTTTTGAAAGGTCATTGGATACTAGGTCACAGCTGACCTGCTGTTAGGAGGAGGGGTCTGGTGGGAAGAGGTGGCCACTGGGGTTGTGGCCTGGAAGAGTGTATGCCCCTTGGCACCACACTCCTCTCTGCTTCCTGTGAACCTTGTGATGAGCCGCTTTTCCTCCTCGAGGCCTCTGTGCTGCTCTGTCCTGCCTTGGAGCCAGCTGACTATGGACTGAAACGTGAGCCAAAATAAGCTGCTACTCCTTTAAATGTGAGTTTTGGGTACTTTATCCCAACAACAAGAAAAGTGAATAAGACCATCACACCAAAAAAATACAACACAGACCATGTTGCTAAGCAGCTTCACAAATGTATTGTGTTAAATGTCTCTGGACATTCCTTCAAAACTGTGGCACTGAATGAAGGATTGAATGATTTTATCACCAAACACATAAATGGAAAACTTTGCTGTGAATTGGATTAACAGAAACCTAAAGTCAAGTGGAGATTAAAGAAATTTCTTGCCTGCAGTCTGCAGATAGCATCTGAATTAGGCCCTACCTCAAATCCTTTTTGCTTCATTTAATAGCAAGAAACACCAAGGATTTTCTTGGTAAGTTGACCTGCCACAGTTGGAGCTCACAGGGAGGTGGGAGAAAGTGCCTCATCCCCAGCCAGGGAAGCTCTTTGTTACAGTGACCCTAGTATTGTGACCAAGTGTACAATAATTGCCTTTGCATATTCTGTGTTTGCCAGAGCTATTTCTCTGTCTCATTGGCACGAGACAAAGGAACAGAGCAGTGGGAAAAGGAAGCAGTCAGAAGTCACAGTGGTGGCAGAGGTGCAGGGAAGAGCTATGTCAAAGTGGCCCAGAGCGTTCTCACAGCAGCAGAAGCCTCATTTTGAGCAAACTCTCAGCCTCAGAAACACGCGTTTTCACCAGTGCTCCAGGCGGTTCCTCCCACACTTAAGCTTCAGTAGCGCTGTCCTGCAAGATCAAGACCTGTCCAGCAGTTCCCGGAGATTTCCATGAACTCTGACTTGCAGGGGAAAAATGTCAAAGGCTTCTGCTGCTTTCAAGATGTGACTTCCATGTCTCCTTTCTGGCTCCCCTGGGGCTAACGTTTGTTATTCTAAATGGCTACAGAAGCCAGACAGCTGTTCTCACACCTAGGATATCTTCTTATACCCAAGGAAGGCTGTTACAAGTTTAAAAAAGTGTGTTACGTGCAGCGCTGTTAGGTCCACCATGATGACTATTAATCAGGTTTGCAGCTAAGACAGTTAAAAGCTTCTTGACATGTGAATGATCTCACTTCACTTCATCACTTTCTTTAGGAAGGAGAGAGGTTATAAAAAATAGTCTCTGATTGCATGGCTTCCACCTTTAGGTTTGAGATTTTTTTAAGAGCAGAATTTTGGCAATACATTTAATTCCCCAAGTGATAGCCCCAGGCAGGAAAATTGTTGCATGATCAAGAGGTTATGTGGTTTTGTTTGGTACTTGTTACAGTTTTAAAATCCTTCTTAATTTTCTTTTATAATTAGCTCAGTTTTTCACAGAACAGAAACAAAGATGTCTGAATATGTTTTAAGAAAAGGGAAACATTTTACATAATGCATGTATCCACTTTCCTGTAGAGGATTTGGAAGGATCTGAAAGGCATTAGTCATAGCGGACACACACACACACACACACACACACACACACACACACGCATACACATACACTCTAATGGGAGAGTGCAAATGTACTTATCCAAAAGGATCTAAACCTCTACATAAAAACACAAAGTCCAACTGTGGAAGAAGTTTAATCAGTATCCTATGGGGAAGTCTAGTTAGAGTTTTATATAATATAGTTTCTGGAATTACCCTGCCTGAGTTAAGAGTCTTAGCTCTACAATTTGCTATCTCCAAACCTTTGGGAAGGTTTTTAAGACTGGTCAATTTCTTTGTCAGTAAAATGAGGATCATAATAAAACCAGAAAAGTTAATGTGAGGGTTAAATTTGTTAATGTGTAAAAAGCCATAAAACTAGTAACTAGTGTTTGTTAAGCATGCATTAAGTATGGTAATAACAGTAGTACCTTGGTTGGTGAACTTAATTTGTTCTATCAATTTGGAAAAGATGGCCACATTTGTGTTTGTGTGGGAAAGATGGCAGCAGTCATGTTTGTCACCTGGTGAAGAGTTTGCCAACAAAAACAAAATTTTGCCAAATGCTAAACAAAAGCATTTGACAAAAATTTGCTTCTGTTCACAAACTCTTCATCAGATGACAAACACAACTGCGGCCATCTTCCCCACACAAACACAAATGCTTCCCAAATCATAACACAAATCAAGTTTGTGAACTGAGGTACCACTGTATTTGCAACTATAAAATTATTTCTGTGACAAGACAGGTAACATGGATTTCTCTTCACCTTGTCAATGCAGTTTGAGATGTTCTCACCTGGTACGTCATGGAGCTTAGAAAAGGGGATTCCCTTGGGGGCCATTATGGCGGGAGTGTCTAGACAAAGCAAGAGCAGGGACCAGTAGTAGGCATTTAACCCTATGTCTCATGCTCTCTAGGTTTGCTTTTTCTCTTTCCCATTCTCAGAAATTCTCATTGCACTGTACAGGAAAAGGGAGCATTTTTGTTTAAGTGTGTGATTTTTTTTTAAAGTTTACTTTGTTACTTGCAACAGACTTCAGAGGTAGTCTTTCACTGACAGAAAATAGAACAGTATATCAAATTCAAGTGGTCCCTCTAACATTGTTCTTCACAGTTACATTCTATATGCAGTACTCACCAATGGAACTTTCTAGATGAATCCCATGTAGCATGGATTTTTATGTGCTTATAAAGTTGAAAGGAATAGTGCTAGCACACTAAATCATATTGTATTTCTTTTTTTTTTTTTTTGGTACTAGGGATTGAACTCAGGTCCTTGCACTTGGGAGGCAGGTAGCGGAACTACTGAGCTAAATCCCCAGCCCCCATATTATATTTCTTAAACAATAGAATGATCTGAAATGCAGGGCTATTCACTCATTTTCTAAAAGTACATTTTTATGAATAGTCAGAAAAGAAATATCTAGGATTAAAAGAAAAGCAGATGTGAATTATATATACATAGGACAAAAAGCTAACATACAAAAAAATGATGTTTGACATGATGTGTCTTCTGAAAACAACTTGTTTTACTACATTTCCAGGAAAGTAAGCTTATTTTAAAGAGTAACAGATTCATGACAACCTTTTAAATAAAAATTCTTTCCCAATGAAGAATATCTGTAATTAAATAGAAAAGGAAAATAGAAGTTAATAGTGTATCCAGAGCAAGAAACATCATACAATTTTATACCTCATATAGCTTCCTCCACATAATTTTCAAATTTGAGAATTCTGCCAAAGATGAGGCATGTTTTCCCCGAAGTCTTAACAAAATCATCCAAGGACAATAATTTATTTTACATTGTACTACTTCATTTAGTTTTGTGGTTCAAATAATGACAAATAAACTTTTCTGAATAGCAAATAAAATGTGAGCCAATCAAGAAATTCACAGCTTTCAAGTGTTTATAAAACACAGCTAATCTGAAAGAGAATGTACTAAAGATAACCACATTGTTATTGGCCCTTTCAGATTTGAAATATTTCTGGTATGAACTTTAGTATTAATGATTTTTGATGAGGGTAAAATCATTCGTCCTTCTTCCCAAAAGGAAGATTCTTAACACATATCAGAGCCTAGCTGATGCTTTCCTGGAGTAATGACTTCCATGAAGTAAAGGTAATGGGATTAGCTTAGGCCACATTTTAGGCTTCAGAAGGGTGTCTGTGGAGATATTCACAATGAATTAATAAAACCTAAAGTTTTGTCATCACAGAGAGACAATAAAATCCTCAGGACCCCATATTAAGTCAGAGAGTTTCACCATACAGTGACTCAGTTGGTTTCATGCTATTGCATGGTGAATAAGGGTCTCACAATAAAACTTCACCATGAGCTTCAATATATCATACAGTAAATCAATAACATTTTACAACAGAATTACATAGTAAGCTTCTCTGTGCTTTACTGTAAGTCAATGGAGTTTCACAGTAAGATTCCCCTTTCAGCATCAATGAATTGTATGGTAAATCAAGAATCTTTATGCATTTTTTTTCAGTACTTCAGATTGAATCCACATGATAGGCAAGTGCTCTACCACTGAGCTACACCCTCACCCCAAGAGTCTTTATTCATTTTAAAACTGAAGAGTTGTCATCACATTAGACAATAAAGCTATAAAATACCATTTCTGGTAAGAGTGAGGTCTTATTACCAACATTTGATTCAAATAAGTTTCTCAAGAATAAAGAGGGCCAGGGATTTAGCTCAGTGATGCTGCCACCTACCTTACAAGCACAAGGTCCTGAGTTCAATCCCTGATGCAAAAAAACCCCCCCTCAAAAACCCTGGAATAAAGGAAGTAGCTATATGACCTCTATAATGTCAAATATTGGAGTCAATTGGAAGAAAGGAGTAAAACCTACCAGAAGGGACAAGACAACTTGATTTTCAAGCAATTTAACTTAGAATCAAATGCTTAGACTTTTCAAACCATTAGAAGTGTCACTTTTTGAGCAGATACAGAACCAAACATTTTAGAAATGTGAAAGATGCCAATTGTTTCTTACTTTTCTTTTAAGGATAAAGAACTTAAGACCCAGAAAATTTTGACTTGCCTGGGGCTGTTAGTTATTGGCAGAGCTAAAACTATCAGGATCTTCTAATTTCTAGTTTAGTGCTTTTTAAAAAATGCTGTACAATTGTCAGCTTCCTATTATCCCATATTTGAATAGAATTTTTGTCCTGTCACTGGAACTTGTAAAATATTTTTACCCTTGAATCTGTCCTTTTCTTTGCATTTTGCTGTTTTAAAAGTCCCACTGGTTTTCTGCCTAGAGGAATTTTGAATGAAATTGCCTTTTAGGTTCTAAATTTGCTTTAAAACTCATTTTGAATCGGCTCATAAAACTAAGCTTGTCCTGCTTGAGTTTGGCCCATCCCCTGATTTAAATTGACATAGACATAAAAGGGAAATCATTTTATTTATTTATTTATTTATTTAACGTCCCAAATACCAGTCAGACTGTTATTGTCCTGTTTTATGTTCTTAGGACAGAAGCTGAGGAAAGTATCTCAACCCTGGGACCAGATCCACATATATTGAGGGCGAAAACAGGAGTGGAGGTAGATTTCAGATAAAAATGTATTTAAACCTACTCTAGAAAAAAACGCCAGCAGGGATTGATGACTCATCCTCCTTCATCCCTTTACCACTTCATTAGCTTTGATGGCCTGGCCCTGGTGCTCACTACAGTGGAGCTGCTGCAGGCTTCCGGTTTCTATGAGGAACCGGAAGCACCCCCCGCCCCACTTGGTGCTCTTACCGGAAACACGCAGGCCGACCTGGAGGAAGAGAGAAATGCGACATAAGCACGCTGTGTCCATTTTCGGCACTTTCATCTCTAATCTTCAATAATTTTTGAGATTTTTAAAATTTACTGTATATCTGGTCTCACACAGACAAAACAGACACAGCACCTGAACTCTGGAGCTCCTGAGATTGCTGCCTCGGCTCCATCGTGGTGCTGACGTGCACTGGGGACGTTTTCAGTGAGTTTTTAATGAAGATCACATGGCTCTTTGCGTGTGTCTCACACTTCATGTGTGGCTCTAAGTTGGAAGTAGAAAATCATCTGCATTTCTTTAAATGAGTGAAATTTAATCTTTACAATCAGCTTTAAAAGCTGTTGGGTAAATGAATGGGATTAGGATACATTTTTTCTTGCACTTTTCAGTCTTGGACACTGAAATATACTGATTCAGTGGAAGACAGGGCACTTAGAAACTGCAGGCCCAGCTTCCTGCTCGGGTTGGAGCAGAGTTCAAGCTGAAGACAATATTCATAGGTCATCGCATTCAGGGTGGCACTGGAACAAGGAAAACACTGAGCGGGACCAGCAGAGAAGCAAAACAAAACAAACTCAGACAGATCCTTTGCATCCCTCAAGCAGGGTCCTCAACCTTGGCCTCACCATCTGCTTACCTGGAGAGCTTGGAGAATGCCTGGTCAGGCTCCACACCCAGGGTCTGAGTATGTGGATTTTTAAAAAAGTGTCAAAAGGCAATTGTAATGTGCAGCCAAACCATTTTTAATCTTGGCCTTAAGCAATATTGACTGTCAGTTGTGTTTTGGATATAGACAATGGTTTCCAAACCTGCTGTGAATGAGAATTCTGTCAGAGACAGAATCCTAGGCCTTTTCTCAGCCTAAAGAAACAATTACTTGAGGGTGGCTCTCTGAAATCTGCAATTGAGACAATACCTCTTCAGTGATATTTTATGAAGTCAGTTTCTGAGAAATAGGGGATTATTATCTGTCTGCTCTGACAGTTACTACACTAGCTTCCTCTGGAGTTTGTCCACAAAGCTCCCTAGCACTTCAGTGGAAAGTACTGTTCATAGCGTGTGAGCAGAGAAGTAGAAGGTAGGCCAGAAAACACCAAGTGGGAAGAAGAAAAGGAAGAAAGATAGAAAAGGATGAGAAAAGGGGTAAATTTAACACTATTTACTAAAAGCTCTGTCTTCTGATGTATGTAGAAATCAGTCAGCAGACCCTCTGATGCTTCAGAAAGGGGAGTCTTTGGACCCTGGAGCTGCCTCTCACCATCATGTAGGCACAGCTGATCTGGGATTTCAGCTCTGGTGCAATGTATATGATATTCCCTGCTTTGTGGGGTTATTGTGTTTGTTTGTTTGTTTGTTTGGTACCGGGGATTGAACTCGGGTCCTTGTGCTTGTGAGGCAGGCAGTGGAACCACTGAGCTAAATCCCCGGCCCTTGTGGGGTTATTGTGAAATAACACACATATGGGGCCTTGCATAGTCTATGTGGGGAGGGGCCTCTGAGAGAGGCTGCCATTATTTTTATATTATTGTATACATAATATTTTCCTGACCAATAATACACGTAGAAAGGTTGATGAAGAGAGGAGGATAATTAAGAAGAAGCATATCAAGCCTGGAACAATCATAAAGCTTAATTTCCATCTATTAAGCAAAACAAAAATTTCAAGGTTGTTTTTTATTTTAGTCTCATTATGGTGCTTTTAAAATGTAGACAGTCTCAAAACAAAATTTTATTTTGAAATGTTTTCTTTGGAAATCATTAATGTCTCCTAGATAATTACCTCCAAATCCTTGCAATTATCACCAGTATTATAATCATCATCTACTGAATTATTATTTTTCCATTTTAGATATGTAAAATAGCCCAGAAGTTTGCTTGGGCTATATTATGTTGTAGTTTTCCTTTCTCTCTTCTAAAATCCTGTTTCTCAAATCACAAAAAAACCATAGTAAGTGAAACTTGACTCTGAAATTTATTAAATAGCTTATCTGTTTGACATGATACATCAATTTTAATATACTCAGGCTGAGTAGTCCACAAGAACAGCAGTCTGGCTGTATTTCTTTTGCTTCATTGGTAAAGTCTATGATTACAAATAGAAAAAAAATTTGAAATGTCACCTGATTTGGTGATGTAAAGTCAACCTATCTGCTATCCTCACAGGGTAGTTTAAAGAAAGAGAACAAGGAAGCTATATTACTGTGAGTGTAGCAGATTTTTCTCTCCTAGTGTGCTCTCCAACATACATACTCTTAAGGCACCAACATGAGTAATAAAACATTATTCCTTTATAACTATATATGATTAGTGATCCTTTTTTTCTTATTCTTAAGTTCTTTTATTGGTACATTTTAGGTATACAGTATGTTTACATTTGTCATTGAGTGCATCTTGGTTCTTATTTTCTTCCCCATTACCTGTGCGCCCTTCAACCCCTCCGCCCTTCCCTATTTACATAGACTTCATTTCCATTTATTTTCTTTTTTCATAATTTTTCCTTTTCCTTCTTTTCTTTCCCCTTCCCCTCCCATCACCCCTACCCCTTTGGACTTTTCTTCTTATTTCAAATTATCAATTATTTATTTTAATCATTTTAATCCTTATTTACACTTTCAGTTTCTCATACTAGAGAAACTATTCGGTATTTACACGTGTGTCCTATTTATTTCACAGAAGGGTATGGCCTCAATATGCATCCATTTAGCTATAAATGACTCTAGTTTCTCGTTCTTTATGGCTGAGTAGTACTCCATTTTATAGAAAACTGCATCTTCTTTATCCAGTTTCCAGTTGATGGGCACTTGGGCTGTTTCCAAGCTTTAGATATTACAAACTGTGGCGCTATAAATATGGGTGCACATATATCACTATGGTATGATTCTTTTAATTCTTTGGGGAAGATACACAGCAGAGGAATAGCTGGGTCAAATGGGGCCTCCAGCCCTAGTTGTTTGAGGTATCTCCATACTGATTTCCACACTGGTTGCACCAGTCTGCACTCCCACCAACAATGAAGAAGGGTTCCTTCTCCCCACACCCCCACCAGCATTTGTTAATGGTTGATTTCTTGATAGCAGACATTCTTTCTGGAGTGGGGTGGAATCTCAGTGTTGTTTTCATCTGCATCTCTCCAATGACCAGTGATGTTGAACATCTTTTCATATATATATTTGCTGCTTTTACTTCTTGTTCTGAAAAATGTCTGTTCATTGCAGATGCCCATTTTTGAATTGGGTCTTTGAATTTGGAGGGTCT